GCCCTGATCCGCGGGGTCGGATGGCCTTGGTGTTTCTTGACTTGAAATTTAGGTGCCCAGTAAGAGTTAGGAATAATCCCTTCCTGCTTTTTATCAGACTCCTTTTGCAAAGGAGAGGAAGGTGACCCCTCTGACTCCGCTCCTCCCTCCCTCTCCGCGTGTTGTCACATGCCTCTGGCGACCCAAAATTGACATCTTGACAGCCAGAAGGAAACCGCAAGCGGCAAGGACTCGTGGTCTAGTTTGGTTGTGTTGTGGTATTGATGCTTCTGCAAGAGCTGCGCCTCCCTACCCCGTAGCTCGTGATGGAGGTGGGTAAGAAGGAAGCCCGGCTCTTCCCAGAACTTCAGCTCCTGTCGGTGAATTGGGGCCACTCCCCTCAGCGTCTCCAAGACGAGGTTATTGCACCGAGCAAATGAGAACAGCACTACAGAGTTATTTTGAGCTTCAATGAAATACCGGTGATAACGACAAAAGGGCGGACTAGACTCGCTTCCTGCGGAGGGGGGTAACGTTTTTAATGAAAGATCGTCCTTGTAACCGTAGCCACACATGCTTAGTAACCGACGTGAGGCAAGGTGGCAAGCACAGGTGAGACTTACATTTCCCGTAAGTCGGTTTTAGGAAGAGTTCAGACATTGCTTGAGTCGGAGTCTCCCTCTGTCGCCCAGGCTGGAGTGCAGTGGCACGCTCACGGCCACCGCAGCCTCGACCTGCTGGACTCAGGCGACCCTTCCACCTCAGCCTTCCAAGTACCTGGAACTACAGACATGCGCCACCCCGCCTGGCTAATATTTGACTTATTGTAGAGATGAGGTCTCACCAAGTTGCCCAGGATGGCCTCAAACCCGCAGGCTCAGGCAGTCCTCTCACCTCGGTCTCCCAAAGTGCTGGAATTATAGGCGTGAGCCACGGCGCACGGCCTCAGACTTTTAAAAAATTACATATTAGTGCAGGACAAGCTGGCAGCCTACCCCACCCTCTCAGCCAATCCAAAGAAAATCCCATCACATGTAACAATAGAACAGCCCGACCTTTCAGCTCACAATCACTAAAAATCCTCCATGTTCCCCGTTGAAGGTAAAGGGCTCAACCCCGCCCCTTAGCTGATCGTGACTGAGACTGTAGACAGGATCCTAATACACCCCTCCTCCCACCAGAGGCAGAGAGAGCACCCAGTACTTATGCTCCACCCTTATTTGCACATCAGTAACTAGGTAGCTACATCTAGCTTTTAGTTGAGAGCAAAATCCTGTTTTTTCTTTTTTGAGAAACTTGCCTGTAGCAGGTCTTTATGCCATGAGCTGTGATGGAGCCACTGCACTCCAGCCTAAGTGACAGAGTGGAGCCCTGACTCAAATACATAAATAAATAACGCCATCTCTAGTTTGAGACTACATATATTTTTTCTTTATTATATATATTGTTGAGTTAGCAAATGTTTCTATAAAATTTAGCCAATATTACTTTTCAATGAAAAAGCAAAGTATTACTTTTTTTTTTTTGAGTTGGAGTCTCACTCTGTCACCCAGACTGGAGTGCAATGCCACGCACCCGGCCACCGCAGCCTCAACCCGCTGGGCTCAGGCTATCCTTCCACCTCAGCCCTCCAAGTAGCCGGAATTACAGGCGCGCGCTACCACACCGGCTAATTTTTTATTTATTGTAGAGATGAGGTCTCGCCAGGTTGTACAGGCTAGTTTCGAACCCCTGAGCTCAGGCAATCCTCCCACCTCGGCCACCTAAAGTGCTGCACCTAAATTTCTGGGATTACAGGCATGAGGCAGCGTGCCTGGCAAGGCCAGTTATGTTTTCAGTTAAATGAAAAGGTTGCTGGGCACGGTAATACCTGTAATCCCACCACTTTGGGAGGCCAACGTGAGAGGATTGCCTGAGCCCAGGGGTTCGAGATCAGCCTGGGCAACCTGGCAAGACTTTGTCTCTGCAATAAATCAAAAAATTGCCGGGCTCGGTGGCTCAGCCTGTAATCCCGCGCCTTTGGGAGGCTG